TTGGTTACACATGTACGTACATCACCAGATATTTGTTGGTGGTCAGCTGTTACCTTTATGAAATAACTTTTTGATATATAACATGGAATATAATTAATCAGATCATATTTCCAATTTCTAATACTTCGGCTTGTCGGTATTGTTTTGTATAATAGAGGTACACTTTACTTTGTTTACACATGATTACACGTGTACTCAGTTCGAACGTGTGTTTGACACAAACAAATAAATTATGCGATATCCAGGACAAATTAATATAAATCAAAGTGACAAATCAGCAGTAAAGCATATAAACTAAGTTACATGAGGGATTTTGAGAGTTGTATTTCATGGGCTTTTTTCAATCTGAAATCTATTATGCGCTTTGTCTGGAGATACAAAAATGTTACGATAGTATACACACTAAGTCGGGACTTCGATATTTGCGAGATACAACGGACACAAGAAACTTAATCTAACGTCGAATATGTCAAACAAAGAAAGCATGAGGGACGTAACGCCTTTTTGCGACCAAAATGTGTTTACGTGTTCAGAGTACAAGAAATATTTATTTGAAACTTATAGTTATGAAGTAACATGCCTAAAACATGAGAAGGCAGATAAAAACGACTCCAATAGTTATCAGGGTATATCCTGCTTAGTGTTATTGGAAAAATATTTACAAACGTCCTAAGTAATATTCCTAAAGTTTGGGCAGCTAGTGAAAAATATCATACATGAGTGTCAAGCTTTAGGAAAAGTTACTCGACGCAGGACCAAATATTCTCATTGCATGCCTTGATACAGAAATAGTCATCGAGAAACCGAGATTATTGTATATTTGTTGACTTTCAAAAAAATGCCTTTGACTGTACAGATCACCAGTATTTATGGCACAAAATCTTCACCAGTGGTACCCATGGTAAAATATTAAAAGTACCCAGGTCTTTGTATTCTCAAATGAAATCTTGTATTAGAATACCAAATACATATACCACCAGTTACACATAAGCTTTGAATATATGGTCAGCCCATTTTTGTGCTTATGTAACTGACCTGATATATGAAGAACACGTGTGTTAGGGTATTTTATAGATGAACCCTTCATTAATGTCACCTCAGTCTGTTGATGATCTAAACAAACAGTGTCGATAATGCACGAATGCTACAAAGATTAGCAGATGGTCTATCATTGTTTTGTAAAAGATAGAAAAAGAAAGTCAACACTGACAAAACAAAGGTCAGGGTACGTAGACGAGGAAGTCGTGATTTGAACCATGAAAAATGGTGTCTTGATGGTGTACAGTTTGAAGTAGCAGTATAGGTACTTGGGTAATGTGTTAACACCAAAACTGTCAGAGTCAAAAGCAAAACATATTCTAGTATCACAAGCTCGCAAACACATAGATATAGTCAATAGATCAAATAAATGGATGGGAGGACTACCAAACTTCTTAAACTTTCTTAATGTTTTAAATGTTCGATACAATGACAAAACCATTACGCATGGTTCAGAAGTATGGAGATATGAAATAGGTGAAATGTTTGGTATCAGACGGTGCTTCGACGGAAATGGCACCTGGAGAGTGTGTTAGGTTCAGTGTTGTTTATATGGACAGCAGTAGATTAGCCAAATCTCATTATATGTTTTTTTTTCACCTGGGTAAAAATGGCAGAAAAAAACATGGGAAAACTGTAATACTCGTATAAATTTGGTGAATTGTGGGAAATCAGGGATGTGTTGATGAAAACTATTTTCTTCGTGTATTGTAAGCGTTGAGTGGGGGGTAGGAGGGGGGAGCGCGCGAGGAAGGGGATTTACGCTAATTCCGCGAAGGTTGTTATATCGCGAAAATCCCCCGCGTAATGTTTTGCGATGCTCTTGCTGTTTTATGAACTATATGCTGAGGCTGAGGTATGTGTAACACGAATGGGTTCTAAGACAACTTGTAATCACATTGAATGGTCTTTTCCAGCACAGTCGGCACTAGCAATAGACAGATCCTGAGTCCATCAAATCGCGTACCTGTAAGCCATCTCCTTGTCCATCCGTTCGTTCCTCTCAGATATGTATTCCCATCATGCCTTCCGTGATTGAAAAAATACTCGTCACATGTCAATTACATTCAGTGTAAAGACGTTAAGGATACAACAATTTCTGAAGGATAAAATTATACGAATGAATTCACATGAGACAATTTAATCAGTTTTGATTAAAATTGGCTTTTATGCCTAAAATGGCAATGTTCGGCAAGCTCTTTATGAATTTAAAGGTGAGACTATTTAACTCCAAATTCTACACTTTCTTATCAAAGATAAATAATTTTCCCGATGATTTACCTCATTTTTTGGCACAATATTCGGGTGTATCTTTTTGTAGGCCTTACTTAGTGTTGGTACAATATGCATTAATAAGTCTGCCAATACAGGTAATACACATATTCCTGTTTATTATAAAAAGACTATTATAAAACTACGTCTATCTTTGCATTGTCTTCTTATTCCTAGCCAGCTTCGTAATTACCCTTTATGTCATAATGATAATGAGGACGAGAACCGTTTGATTCTAACATGTCACCTGTAAAATGATCTGAGATCTAAATATACCAAGTCTTACTATCGATCAAATACATCTGTCTTTAAATTAGTTATTTTGTTATCATCCTCTAACACTATGAATTATGTAATTTTGGAAAATTGATACAATATTCAACCAAATTAAGAGATTTTTTAAAAATAGAACATTAATGGAATAATCTGGAAAAATGTTGTTATTGAGTTTGATACAGATGTGGTATCACTGAAATGTATAAATGATGAATAATCAGTACTTCGAGGCTCACACACTTATTTGTTTACTGGTACCTGTACCTATGCCAGCAATACCCCTAGTAATTGACACTTCAATACGTTTACACAAAAAAGTACGGTTGTCGGCATTGCTTTAAGTAAAACACACTTTTCAAATCTGAAATATCAGAAACTATTCCGACTAGCAAAACTATATCGATGTGTTTGAGATACACATGCCGTGTTCAGTCACAAGAACGGGCGTGAAATAATTTCAAACATCTGTGGGTTCCGTGCGCGTTATGAAAAGTCAAACAAAAATACTCGAAGGGCGATACAGAACTTTTCTAACCTGACATTGTTTTCAAGCCTTTCAAACTGTAGTCCCGATGTTCACACTTTAGCAACCTCGGGGTAGGGGTTGTACGTATAATATATAATATTAAATATTTATATTCCACCTTGCGATGACAGTAAATCATTTATTTTTCTAAAACCACTGAATAAGAATATGTGTTTATGAGCAATATTCTAGAGTGGAACATTAAAACTGTCTGTGTACTAATTATATGTACACTTTGTAAAACATTCGTGTCTTCACTATGGCAATGATTGTTTTTACTTTCAGATGTAAGTCAAAGGTCAAGGTCACATGGTCAAAAATGTTGGTACCACCGGAAAGGTCTTATCACAAGGAACACACAGGCCATATATAAGAGCCCTACTAGTAAAAAGGTTAAAGTTGAAAACAGACAAACAGACACCACATAAATAATATGACCCCAATCTTTCGATCCGGAGTCATAAAAATGTAGTTAAACATATAGAGCACTTTAATACGCATGTAGTGATATCCATTTGTTTACAAGATTATTGTAACGGGGAGCATGAACTAACCCATCCTGGTCTACCAGTCAGAAATGCTTCATTTTATGTCTTGTTAAAGAACATCGAAACTTTAAATAGCTGAGGACAAAGAAAAATGTGTAGAAGTTTCTGATGTGAATGCTGATCACTGGTAAGCTATATAACCACTACCTTCAGAAATCACCGAAAGCCAAGGTGTTCAACAAGCCAACAACAATCAGCCATTCTCTCCCTCTCTACTGTTGTTAAAAAAAATTCTAATGCTACAACAATCAGCTATTATCCCCCTCTCTGCTGTTGTTAAAAAAATTCTAATGCTACAACAATCAGCTATTATCCCCCTCTCTCATGTTGTTAAAAAAATTCTAATGCCACAACATCCAGCTATTATCCCCCTCTCTCATGTTGTTAAAAAAATTCTAATGCTACAACAATCAGCTATTATCCCCCTCTCTCATGTTGTTAAAAAAATTCTAATGCCACAACATCCAGCTATTATCCCCCTCTCTCATGTTGTTAAAAAAAATTCTAATGCCATAACATCCAGCTATTATCCCCCTCTCTCATGTTGTTAAAAAAATTCTAATGCTACAACAATCAGCTATTCTCTCCCTCTCTCCTATTGTTAACAAATCGTCTAATGCCACAACTATATGCTATTTCCCCCTCTCTCTGTTAGTTAACTTATTTTCCCCTCCCTAATGCCTTTCCAATCTTCTTTATCTTATTTGTATTCTTTCCCCGCATCTCGGCCTGACTGTCATTCTTATCCTCATTATCTTTTCGTTTGTCGGCATTCATGTTGTGTGGTAGTATGTGCATGAATTATGAAAATGTGAACTTTATTAGTTACAAATCTTGGACGTAAACGCGTTATAGAGGTCTTACTGTGGGAAGAGCTCTGTGAAGAAACCCAAGTGGTCGGGTAGGTGACTCTCCCTACCCCATATGATGTTGTGTTTGTAAAAATTCTTCAGCAAAATCAATATAAACAAATTAAAACTAGTTTAAATTCTTCTTGGTCGTCTACTGTAATTCACAGGTCAATAAATCTTACAGATAGTAAAATTTTCACATCTGTGTGTCATTAGATGTGATTTATGTTTGAAATAATTTTATATATCATATCCCAAAAAGTGTTCTTTATTTGTCTTCTGATACTGATCAAAAATATGAAATATCAGCCGATTCAAGCACATGTATAAGTCCTTCTCTATCCCCGCCGCGAACCTGAGTAATTTCGCGCCTCCCATCTGCTTTAAGCATCGTGTATTCTTTCCGTTCAGAATTGGCGGAAAAGCATCCCGTCGTCCTTTGTGTATGGGAGAGTGCGCAAAAGCAGTGTAAAATCTACTTCCTGTACGTGTGGTAGCCATAATGTCTGCAAAACAGGTACTGTTATTTTCCTACTGACTGTGTGTTAATGTCACTCTTTCAAACTCGATGTTAATTTTCCATTTTTCTTTTTTCAGTACGTAACAGAAGAGGCATGCCCCCGTACGCTGTAAGTACAACATTTAAGACTGTTTCAGTTCGATTGGCCGGTCATCTGAGTTTCGTTTTGCATTGATGGATAATATCTCTACGAATTTTGGTCACCGTTGGCGATAATAACATTCGTTTGATATTTAATTGATATAGGTACGTGGGGAACCTGGATCCTTCGGTGACTGAGAGTTTGATTATTGCTTTGTTCGGTCAGATTGGACCTTGTAAAAGCTGTAAGATCATACATGAGGTAAGTACTTACACACAGGAAGATATTCCCAGATAGAGGACCACCATGCTAATTAGAAGCGCCATATGTGGTTTATAACAGACACAGGGAACTGTTGAAATCCGAATGTAGTCATTGACATTTTAACGAAAAGATGCCAATGACAGTTTCAGACGATAGGACTAGCTCCTTCAGAAATCCGCGACTAGAACCTTTTCCTTCCTGTTTAGATGCCGGGTTTTATTTCAAAATATGATTGATAAAGTTTTTTTTTCTGCAATTTGTAGAGATGAACTGTATTATATTGCTTTGAAAACGTGCTGGTCATGTTTATCTTTACTTTAACAACAGACCATTCTTTATTACAACTAGGTAATACATGATACATCAAAACAAAATTAGGGTTGGATACTGTTAGGACAAAATGATACAATATCATACAGTACCAATGAAACAAGACAGTTTTTTTTTAATGATATGGTACCAGTCTTCTAACAATAAAGATGTTTATCCAAATTATCATAGATTATTATGAGTTTCAAGTTAAGAATGACAGTTATGTTTCTTAACAATTATTAACTCAGAAACATGTGGTTATCATCTGATGTGTACAGCAATTATTAAAATGCTTGTGTCATAGTCACTCAGTATTAAACTAAAAATCAGATAATTCATTTTTGAAATGGGCCTATCTGTATGGAAGTATTCATGTTCTATCCTTGAGTTCTTCCCTGGTATTTCTTAGCTTCTTTGAGGTAAACTTTAGTGTTGCTTGTTATGTTGTTGTGTATCTAATGATTTCGCTTTACTGCTGATGATTTCATTTTTTAAAATTAAAGTGTATTTCACACCTTGAACCTTTATCAGAATAAACTGCAGAGTGTTTCCAAAGTAATGATGACAGAACCAATCAAGAGTATTCAAGTTTTGATTTGTGATTCAAGTAATTATAGCTGCAGTGAAACATTTCACTTACTTGCCTAGACTGAAAGGAGGGAGTCAAGAAAAGAGATTTGCTGTAAAGGGTAAATAATACCTTAAATACTGGTAACAATATAGATGCTTGATATGTTTGTTGTTAGGGCAATTTGGGGTGTTAATGGGCCCCATTAGCATTTTAAATAACTTCCTGTATTAAGTAAAGTTTTCAAACTTTATATATTTTTAGCCCACCATCTGTGTATTCAAATCATTCTGCACCCGTGGTCCATTGTCCATATGTAAATGATTATTGTTATCACTATTTCTTGAGAAGTGCTGGATGGATCTTTTTCAAAAAGCTGGCAAAAGCTGTGCCCATTCCATTTTTGGACTGATATTAAAAAAAAACCCAAAATGTCCTACTGGCTGTCATCTTGGATTTTTTCAATTGAAGTTTGTTATCGCTATTTCTTCAAAAGCACAGAAAGGATCTTTCTTAAATTTTATATGTAGGTTCCCCATGAGGCCAAGTGGTGCCCATTTGATTTTGAGTCTGATAAAAAAAATGGCTGACAGGCAGTCATCTTGTATTTTAACTGAAAGTTTGTTATTGCTATATCTTCAGTACTAAAGCATTGTTATTTTTGAAATTTCATGTGTATCTTTCCCCTTGTCCCTGGTTTTGCCAGTTTGATTTTGGCACTAATCAGAAAAACAAAATGGTCAACTTGGATTTTGATTTTGAAATTTTGTTATCACTATTGACTTGAGAAGTACTGTATACATCTTTTTCAAATTCATGAATAAGTTACTTTAATTAGAAAAACAAGATGGCCGAGTTCTCTCCTTGTGTCTGTTTGATTTTTTGATTGATCAGAAGAAACAAAATTGCTTCAAGGGTGGCCATTTTGGATTTTGTAGGTAAAGATTATCATTGCTATTTCTGCAAAGGAATTTTCAAATGTCTTATCATTAAGAGCAAAAACAGAGATGAGAAAAGGGAAAAGATTCAACCTTCATAGAGGAAATTAACATCAAACAATGGTGGGCACCAAGATCCCTCTGGTTCACAAATTTCCTTCCAAATTCAACAATTATCTTCCTAAATCGAGGCAAAAATGCCCTATCCCAAACCAGTGAAAAAAAATTAAGGTATTCAAAGTACGTTTCTGTAAGGTATCCTATCCTACATACAACTACATCAAGTACCGAACATTGAACTGCACACTGAATAAAAAACACATTATTAAGAAGTTATCCAAAACAATATTTTCTCTTGCACTGGTATTGAACAGCTCCAACCCTAGTATTTAGCTGTTCCTACTCTGGTATTGAGCTGCTTACACTGGAATTGAGCTACTCCTATTGCAGTGTTCATCTGCTCTTACTCTAGTATTTAGCTGCTCCTACACTGGTATTGAGTTACTCCTATGCTGGTATTGAGTTAATCCTATGCTGGTATTGAGTTGCTCCTACACTGGTATTGAGTTACTCCTATGCTGGTATTGAGTTGCTCCTACACTGGTATTGAGTTGCTCCTATGCTGGTATTGAGTTGCTTCCACACTGATATCGAGTTGCTTGTGCTGTGCTATTGAGGAGCTTCTATATTGGTGTTGAGCTTCTACACTGATATTGAATTGCTGCTTCTCTAGTATTGAGCTGTTCCTACACTGGTATTGGATTGCCCCTTGTCTGGTATTGACCTGCTCTTACACTGATATTGACCTGCACCTACACTGGTATTGAGCTGCTCCTACTCGGGTATTAACCTGCACCTACACTGGTATTGGATTGCTCCTACTCTGGTATTGACCTGCACCTGCACTGGTATTGAGCTGCTCCTACTCCAGTATTGAGCTGCTTCTACACTGGTAATGAGTTGCTCCTACCCTGGTATTGAGTTGCTCCTATCCTGGTATTTAGCTGTTCCTACTCGGGTATTTAGCTGCTCCTACTCTGGTATTGAGCTCCTACTCTGGTATTGAGCTCCTACCCTGGTATTGAGCTGTTCTTGAACCATTAGTGAGCTGCTTAAACTTTAATTGAGGTGTTCATACATTAGTACTAGTATTGAACTGCTCCTATACGAGTATTGTTCATACATTAGTACTAGTATTGAGCTGCTCTGATACAAGTATTGTTCATACATTAGTACTAGTATTGAGCTGCTCCGATACTAGTATTGTTCATACATTAATACTAGTATTGAGCTGCTCCTATACTAGTATTGTTCATACATTAGTACTAGTGTTGTGCTGTTCTGGTATTGAGCTGCTCCTCTACAAGTATTGTTCATACATTAGTACTAGTATTGAGCTGTTCCTTTACTATAATTGTTCATACATTAGTACTAGTATTGAGCTGCTCCGATACTAATATTGTTCATACATTAGTACTAGTATTGAGCTGCTTCGATACTAGTATTGTACTAATATTGAGCTGCTCCGATACTAGTATTGTTCATACATTAGTACTAATATTGAGCTGCTTCGATACTAGTATTGTTCATACATTAGTACTAGTATTGAGCTGCTCCGATACTAGTATTGTTCATACATTAGTACTAATATTGAGCTGCTCCGATACTAGTATTGTTCATACATTAGTACTAGTATTGAGCTGCTCCTATACAAGTATTAAGCTGTTGTAAGTTTCACCAACATAGCCAGATCATGAGTAACTTTTGGGACACCATTATGTGCCGATACAAGTTATAACTGTGGACTATGCCTAAAGGTCTTGAGTAAATTGAAAAAATGAGTAATATTCTATTAAGAACCTATTGTCACTCTGTTGTCTTGTTTGAATGTACAGATTAAAAAAATTTCCATAATTTTTGATAAATTTTTTGTTGGGTCAATATATCACTAAAATTATGAAAAAAAACTTCAAAGGTTGGGAAATACTAATTTCATATATATGTAATAGTATCAAACTGAATTTAAGGAGACAGAATATCACAATTCTCCAACACATCAATTAGTCAATGTTTTAAGTGATTATAACAAAACAGAAAATGACAATGCATAGCTTTGACATTCATCAGTTAATACAAATTCTTTTAGAATTAGTGAGAATACAAGGGGAAATAACTATGTTTGATCTTTGACCTGGTTGATTTTAATTTGGAAAAGCATAGCTATTTTATTCATACTGGTCATGTTTGATTTCGGAAATTTAATTATAATGAAATTTTCAGTTCTGATATAAGCTGTTCTGTGTAATCACTGTATGTGTACTTAATTTGAGCAGTAACCTTAATTAGAGAATTGCTTATCATACTCGTAAATTGTCAGGAGAGAATATTTGTAGATAAATTTATTCTTTTTCAAATATATTACATACAATAAATGGAATCTAACATGAGAATATGTCCTGCTAAGTCGCAGTATCACAGCTATCCTTGTTGTTTATACAGAAACACAACTAGATCATCTCCCTTTACTTACATCAGATTTTGCACTTCAGCGGTCCCTATAGCCTTTTGAGGCATAGAAACTGAAAATTACTCCAGTTATTTTTTTTCAGCAGTTTTATTCAAAATAATCAGAAGACTCCTGTTTCATCTAAACAAGATCCCTATGACAAGAAGACCGATGAAAACGCTATTAAGTCATGATTTTCACATGATATATCTGGAATGTGATTAAATCATACAATATATTAGCAGCAAAATGTCATGTGGGAAAGAGACATGTGATGTGAGATTGTATTTTTTTTTCATATTAAACTGGCCAGCGGTGTGTTTTCATTCATAGTTATCAGTGTACTTCATTTTTTCCCTTCATTTTTCTTCTTCTTCAAATGGTATTTGCTGTTCTTAGATTCTCATTCTTTAAATTTGACGTAGAATTAAAAACAATATATGACATAGGATCTTTGATGATGGTTTTAATCACTTAAGTCAGCAAATTTACATTTATACAGATTTCATAATCATAATTTTGAGGACAAAATCAAATGCAGACAGCCATTTTGTTGTGCCATTTTAAATTCATGATGACAGCAAGACAGATTATGTGATAAATCTTTTATGTAATAGATTTTTCCTTTCAATGATCACTGTTCAGAACTGACTGACTTGTATTTCAACATTTC